GGTTCGGTTCTATTTGAGCCACAATTACGGTAGCATGTAGTAAAGCTAAGTTGATGAAATTTTTACGGTAAATAGCTGATACCGTAAGGAAGTTTTTAAGATACTTACGAATAGTAAGAACATGTTTTTTCAATTTTTTATAAACGTTCAAAGTTGTTGCACTTTTTTACTTTTTTGTTATGTTCGAAGATTTTGAAAAAAATTAAAAAGTAGTATTAGTTACATGACTTGAATGATTATATGATAGTTAAGCCTTAGGTCTTAGCTACATAATCGTGAAAAAAGCAGGCATTTATCACAATTATTAACGAAGTTATGGTAAAAATAAACACAGAACTCAAAAATTCTCGAAAAATCCGAAAAAAAATCATAACTCCTAAACTAAACAAAATCGGACCATATATATGGGGATGATTTGGGTTCCTCTCGATGTGGGGAATCTAATTTTTTTTTATGACGTCACGTGTTTGGCCACCCTGTATATATATATATTTTACTCTAGTATTTATATACGAAATCCGGCAACAATGGATGCTGCTGTTGAGCAAGCTTATGTTCGTTATAATGTATGTTAGGTTCACAAAATTATAAAAATTAACTTACATCCTTTAACTAATTTTTATTCCATGGTTTGTTCTTATTCACTCTGTCATAATATTCACTTAGTTTCTTGTAAATAATTCTGAATACTGCGACATCTTTACAAACACAGAAGAGACGATGTGTATACTCAAGCAAATTAACACAAAACTGGTTCAATGAATGACTGAATCAGGCAAATGCAGTAACGAAGTTAATGTGGTTGTTACGGTGTTTGACTGAAATTGTTCAGTCATTACAGGGAATGACTGAAATGATTAGTCAAACGTTGAAATAATCAAACTGTTACGGTGTTAGGCATTTCAGAGAATGACGGATTTCAGCGTTTAACGCCGACATATATTTCCTTTTCATTTGTAATAAGACAACATCCATTCAATAATCTTTGTGTCAAAACAAAAATTTAACGTAATTTTTCGTGTAAAGCGAAGGTCATAACAAATAAATCAAATATATTTGATTTTACTACGAACAAGTCAAATTTAAAACTGAAATTCGACATAGGAGCTAAGCCATTGACAAAACCCGATCTGGATCGTATACAGCTTGTTTATCACTTCTTGTTTGGATAAACTTAGGAACTGTGCGTAAACTGTTATCTAAACATAAATTATGAAACATTTGCTTTGTTATAGCTTGTACATCTCAGGTTATCTCATGTGCTTTCAAATGTGGTGCCAGCTATAAATTATATTTTTATCAATCTTATTGATATAGGTTATCTGTCGAGATTTCAAAGAGGTCGTAAAAGATTACCTGAACACGTCTCTCGTTAAATAAAATACCTTTCACTTATCAAAAAAATTTTCAACATTTACATTTGTTTTCATGGTTGATATATAAGTACTTCCTAAATCTTCAAAATTCTATTAAGCACGTCAGGTGAAAATACTTCAAAGCACGGAATCATGCTTTTATCTTTTCTCTATTTCAGCAATGTTTGTACTATTTCAAGGGTATTTTTATTTATGTTTTCAGTTATAACCTTTGATATTGTTGAGGAAAACTACAAGTAGATGGAACCGCCTAATGATGAAATTATCAATATGTATGGGAATGTGATCCAAGTTTAAGAATATGATTATTTGATCATGACTGACAACTCCCTTAAAAAATGTCCAGTGTCGCATAGTCCTCGAAAAACTGTTTGTGTTTTATATAGCACATAAAGAAACTTCACTTCACTTTACTTTTACTATCATTGTAGGTGTGTTTTAAAAAATGGGAATCTTCCTCATTGTCTGGATATTGTAATAGTCACTTTTACTGACATAAGATATTATATCTGCCTGCATTGCGTACTTTTTTGTATTGTTTAGCACTTTATGTAATAGGTCATTTTATTTGAAAGGCTAACATTCGTGCAGGAAACAACACATACATTTCTGTCTTAAGTATCAAAAGCATTGATATATCCACGTTTTTGAAATATGAATAGTAACATGACTCTCTGCATGTGCAAATAAGGTACAATTATTAGAAGTAACCATTATGTCACTTATTTGTAGGGGTATGTTTTCAAATTGTTTATCTGGGCTATAAGTATCGCTTGTTTTAAAATCTTCTCCACTGTATGCATACTGACCTTATACTAGACTAGAGCATTGTCGATAGCGCTTTCATTGTCCGCCCACCATCATATCTCTAGACATAATTTCACCGCGACTGGTTAATACCATTGAAACAAAAAAAAATGGCGACTGGAAAGTGATCTCATTATCATCCGGTATAGTGTTGAATTTCCAATTTCGAATCTCGATCACAGAGCGTTGTCCTCGTTCTATCCCTACCATCAGATATCACCCGCAATATCGTAACTACTACGGGCATTTCGATCCAGTTATAATTAATTTGCAATACTGAACTGGTGCTAAATAGTACGAGAAGGGTAGACTCAAAGATTCGAAGTATTTGGGTACTAGCGGTTTTATTGACAATGTTCTAAATCGATTGGAGGTTTTAGAAATATACGCAAAAAATATTTTTATTTAATGTTAATGCTTTTTCCGTCCGCAACAGATTGCTTCGCAAACTTCGAAAAATCGATTTGATTAAGTCGTTTTTGAGATTACGTGGTCTCAAAAGACGCGAGCATACGAACGGGGTATCAGGCACGTAATAGTACATCAAAAACACTGCTAGTTCTGCCTGTAATCCCTGCATATACGGAGAAAAATTTCGTTGAAAACGTATTCTTTATCTAATATAACTGGGCTAAGCGGTGTGTATCTTCTAACGGTCAACTGTGACTTCACGTTAGAATGTCGATTGGATATAGATAAGATGATCTTGTTACGAATATTGAGCATTAATTAAAGATCTTATATGTGCTCGTACGAGATTTCAATAGGAAAAAACTACCGAGCTGCCAATCATGGTTATGGCACAAGTCGGTGTAGATACTATTATGATCTAAATATAATTCGTGTTTACTGACATTTTTGTCTGCCGATTGGTACAAACAACATGAACGTGCAGTATCGAGACATTGAATATAGAAATGGCGTCAAGTAGATTGACTCGGTACTCCCAACGCCTAACATTATTTTAAAATACTTAAATACATTCTACCTAACAATCTGTTTGACTAAGATTATCTGAAATGTGACTGACCTTTTCATCTGAATCGTTTGGTGGAAATTACGATAATTTACAATAAATACAGTTCCAGTATTCGAAACAGATAAAACTAGTCTTGCAATTCTCTAGCAATATGCTTTCGGCATTATGATAGAGTGATCAGATAATGTTTGCATTATTTCGGATTACGAAGAGGCACACATTTTACCTTTAGACAACAAATGTCCAGATTAATAAATTATTTAGGGCTGTATAATTGGTAACACCATCTTTACAGTTTATAATACATTTGACATATTTGAGATTGAAATCTATTTTATAATCCACCATGACAAAGACCCCTGACCATAAAACTTGAGTACTTATCCTTATCTCCAGGTATATTTTATGTTTCTCAGGTCTCTAAACTCCCAATCATAAAACGGCAGGTGCTGCGTATTTGCTGCTATTTGTTCCACCCCACATTTTTTTGATGGTATAGTGATGGAGCCTATGGGTAGTATTTCAATTTCTCATTATGTTCTTGGCAGGTACTGGCAGGATAGTATTACCTCTATATTTATACCTGCGAAGAATTACGATCTTTAATGGTATTGTAAATTGTTAGGACATTCTTACTTTGGACTGACCACTCAAATGATTATCTGCATCTAACAGCTTTGTGGATATTCAGCAGAGGGCCAACCGTGTACAGTTGTTTCATGTTTATTGGCAATTCTCAGCCTGGTCTAGGCTATAGATCTCTCGCCTTCAATGGTCCCCGGACCATTGATCTAAATTACAAGATTTTGAAAATATTCCTGTGATTTAGCTTTTTCCGGGTGCAACATGGATTTGTCTCAGAACAGTTCCGAATTTGACACGAGGTGATTCTAAAATTACAAGCACTAACTGTTTTGGGATAGCTCCCTATAAAACTCGAATAAAGCTTAGTATCTCAACGGTTAGGGCACCTTTCTTTAAAACTACTGGGATTAAGAATGCGTAGAGATGTGTATTGACGTTTACAAATGTTGTATAAAAAAGTATACCCTTTCTTGGATCCATCAAACATTTTAGTGCAGCAATTTGAATTTGCACAATTGCGTAATATAAAAATACGTTTAGCTCTGTATGAGTGAATTTACATTTCTTTGTTTTTTTGACAATTTCAGTTCGGTTTCCTGGGCTATAAATGTAAAGCCTATCGGCTCATTCACATATATTAAAACGATCTACTTGCTATAACATTGTCTCACGGCTTGCTTCTAAAATAATTCTTAAACCAGATATCACCCAGTACACACCCAGCACTCAGCGTATTAGAAGCTCATTTTGGGATGAGGAAAAAAGTTTTACATGTTCTCTGTGCGTCCTTATATGCAGATGCCACACACTGAGACAGATCAGTACAGAAGAATATTCATCTAATTATGACAGCACACCTGTCATCTAATTATCATACAATTAAAGTTTATTTCTTCAAGGGTCCCTTCCTCTAAATATGCAGTTACCATGCCAAGTTGAACACGATTTTCTATTTAATATTAATTTAATGCGGGGTGTGAATAGAAGAAACAAGGTCTTCTGGGTATAGGTTCAAAGACCTTATATATTTATAGATTCAAGAATTGTACTTTGACGGGGATTTTTATTTTGGCCAGATATAATATTGAAAAATTCATTTTTTAATCAAGAAGTTGGGTACTGGAAAAATATTTATCTTATAATTTTATTTTCCAATATTTTTACATTTTAGTTGATGTTGCAGTGAATATATTGTGTAATTGACTTTTTTCTTGTTTCGGTGTTTATTTAATTGGATTTTCTTTTTGTTGCAGGTGAGTTAAAATTCCCTATTGCTCCTCCTGATAAGGTAAGAGGTATCTCCACATTGCACGCGTGCATACCGAAACCTTACGCCTTGGACAGACGAGCGTTACATTGATGCACGTGTTGCTCCAACGATAGTGTGTCATGTGCCGTCTTCATCAGGCTAGACACTCATGCAAATCGTACGTTTTGCTTATATAGTTTTATATCGTCATGTACTGTGAGAGATGCCAAATCGTCCGTTTTCGATGTTGCGTTACATCAACTGCTTTGGGGGCAAAATCAACGGAAGGTTGATTTTTGCGCGTGTACCAACTTGCTTGTCTGTATGCTTGACGACTATACGTCGGATACCAGAAACACTACATTTTGCATAATGACTTACTTGCAAGCAAAACGTATGATTATGATGTCTGTGGCAACCTAAATGGCAAACCCGCGGTTTTAATTAATTCTCTAAACTAATACGTAACTCTAGGAATTCATTTTAAATTACAAGGAAACATCTCGCAGCAATATGTTCTGAATTTAGACTTTTAAAAAATATTCTATAGATATCCAATCTATTAGTAATTACCTTTATTATGGTATTGCGAAAATGTTAGTTTCATATTTGCACTGAATCTATTTAACTTGCACTATTAAAGTATAATTCCATTTACAAATTAAATAGTATTTCAACAAATTGCGAAATTGCTGTCATTATTGCGAACATGACGACATAACATATTTGTTTCAAGTTCACGTCATTCATAAAACTTGTACTATTGTTTTGCGAGTACACTTATAGTGCGAAAGTCGGAAACCCATGTTTTGTTTGGAATTTGAGAATATTTTATCTATGTAAGTCCTCAGTTGATATGTTTTTAAAAAAGATAGGTGACCTGATGCATAGACTGAGGCTGTTGATTTCACTAGTTGTGTATTGCGAGAATTTGTTTTTAAACTGCATTCAAGTAAGGATTGAAAATTATAATTATTGATCAAACATATTTTGGCAAACAAGTGTATATATTCATGTTCTTTTGGTCCACACTTTGAACTCACTGTGAACTCGGTGATGAAATATCGCACAACCTGGAGGACGTCGTGCTAGTGTTGTCCACTTTCAACAGACTCACGTTTCACAGCTTTTACTTGTGGATTTGTATGCAATCTAGCCAGTTTTCTGGTTGCTTTCTTTCCTCTTTATCGAAAATTTACTATATCGCCATAGAGAGTGAATATACTTTTTTAAGATAGATACGAGATACGAAATGACAGATGTCATTCTTTTGGGCGCAAATATAATGAACTAAAGCAGAATCATGAAAATGTTAATATTTGTTCTCTAGCAAATTTGCATGGTTAGGATTCCAGATTCCTTATAACTATGCCAAACGCTTCATATAGGTAGCTGTATAAAAGTTTTGGACAAACTATAATTTATCATGCCTGATCCGAAAATACCCCATTTGTAAATAATTGTCGGATATGTATACATAAATATAAAAAACTAAAAAAAGTTTTCAAGAATAGCTTGTTATATTTATAGATAAACGTGATACCAAGGTCTAGGATATTATTTTTACTGCTACCAACATCGGTGATACATATTTTATTAATGCAACCATAAAAAACGTAGCATTGCGTAGACTGTGTAATGTATTGTTTCTGATTTCTCGCGGAATTGAAAAACGACTGTTGGCTATTTTCCAATGAGGTTTTTTAACACGTATTGTTATAATTTTGGCTGTGACCTCGGACTACATTACGAATATAGTACATCTGTTCTACAAATATCCCGGATATCATGTATAACCATTCAGTGGATAAATAGCAACATCTAGATACAACTCTCTTATCTGGTATAAATTATGTCAATTTACTTCTTTTCAATACCATTTGTAATTATGCTTATATAAACTGACCTTATATCAACGAATGTTAGCAAATTCCTTGACATTACAGATAACTACAACATACAACAATTCTGAAATTATATGTATCTATAGCTACGAGAGGCTCTTTTTTGAAAAGTAATGTCTTCAGAAACCTGAGTATGCTTAGATATTCTAGAATAAAAAACGAATTTGTCGATAATCAAATTAACAGTATTTTGACTGCCGAAAAGTAGTGACAAGACAAATCGATTACCCAGCCTGACAGTGAAGATTGACAGAGGTATATAAAAGTAGTTTTGCGTCGTTCAAGTAAAGATATGTTATGTCTTATTGTAGTAGGTTAGTTGAAGGATTGAAAGAGCGCGATCCTCAAACCAATTTTCAAAGTATACTATTCAACAATTAATAAAACGATACTGACCGGACTTCCATGCTCGTTCTGATAAGATGCTACAAGTTATCTAGCTTTTTACGGCATTTTCATGCAAATGCAGCAATTATTTTTCCAATTCATTTCCATAAATTAACATGGTCGATATACCGCTTAATTGGTAAAAATCATACTAGAGCGTCAAAGTCTGATGAGTACGGACAATGTTGTACGCTACCCAGCTCTTATCCTCTTGAATTATTTTTATGTAAAGTATCCCTAACAATTTTTGTGCTTCGCTAGGTATGATAACTTGATATCTGTAATGGATAATATGAAATTATAAAACAAGGTAAATGGAATAGTTTTCAGAAAATATTAAAGTGCGTGGTGATGAGTCAGACAGTTGCTTGACAATCATTCTGATCAAATACGCCATATTCTCTTGAAGTTAGTATACGTTTGTAGACTGTGCACTCTATCATCAAAATAGACATTGCTGATGAAATTCGGGTCAAAGATCCATTCATTCTGCTTGTTAATAGATGCTTACAAGGGGTTATTTTTACATAACTATAAAACATGTACTCACCCAAAATAAAGTGAACCATGACAAAATTAATCCACCTTATATATCAAGGAAGATTGATGCAGGACATGCATAGGAATATTAAAATAGATTTACAACTGTAAATAAACCATTAGATGTTTAACTAGACCAAATTATTAATATGACGTTTGTCAGGAAGCACATTCTGTGGTACATACCAGATCTAATGGGTAGTGATGATTTATAGTGAAGTCTTGGACAATCGAAATAAATATTTTATGGTTAGCATGAGACAAATGTCAACATCATAAAGCTGAAGAACATAAATAAGTTATTACAGGACATGTAGAAAAATGTAGATAAATCAAGTTTGTTTTTCTTATGATGCCATACAAGGGCGGATTTAAGAATCTGTCCCGTGGGGTAGAGGGGAGGGGAAGGAGGTGGGAAGGGGGTTAACGTGAAAAAATACATGGGTCAATAACATAGGAGGACACCAAACACTCATCACTTTTGTAAATTTATAATTATCGACACATTTGTTTATGTAGCAACATAAGTCATGCGCTCCTGTTTAGTTTGGTTGTTGGTAAAAAAAGTTACCTATATAAGAAACGATGGTAGATATGCGTGTAACCGTCAGCTTTTTCAATTTATAACCTCATTAAATATTTGGGAGACCGTTCCCATACCGTTAACAGGTTTTTCGAGAACCCGAATTTACTTTCACTGATACGTCGTAAAAGGTAGTCCCAAGATACATGAATTGATTGTAAAATAAACATTTTCTGGTATGTTAGATATAAGAGGGGCCCATTCTTAGTCTTTGAGAAATTTTGGTAATAAGGTGCAGGGTATTATATCATCCATGAAAAAGTAGATAATAATTCAACTAATCCAATCTGGTACACTAATTATTTTTTGTTGCTTTTTATTGTCAAAATAATAATCCATGATCGTTGTTAATAAACTGACTTATTTTTGATTGGTTGGTTTGCCGCCTATACTATGTTTTAATTATATACAACGGACTTTATAGAACGCTATATAATTATAGCTAGTAAACTAAGATTTCGTTATGGTATATCGCTTGTTATAGGTGGCTGGCAATTATTTGCGAATTTCTCGATAATAATGCCAGAGGAAAATGGGTTAGACGTTACCTCGGTCAATACGAAATAGCACCTAGAGCCAAAATAAACAATGCGGTTGTATCTGTGGAATGCTAACCTGCATTCGATCGCGAATTTCGTCACAGCATGCCTCTGAGGTAACTATATAAATCACGTGTATATTTCAAAGCCTAATGGGCGAAATGTCATGTACAGATAGCAGTGTATCACCTGTGGAGGAGAAAATATACTATGTATATCGTATATGCTCATATATTTATTTGTCGCAATGAATTGCATGTACTTCTTTGAAGGTTGGTTTCTATTTCGACTTCATAAATGACTTCGTAGTTACTGTATTACACGCTCTCAGCGCACAATGTAACTGATGAAATTCTAAATGCTATATCATAGCATGTGGTTCTATTTTCACAATAATATAGCGATTTAATATACTGAACCAGCCGCGAAAGCATAGCTTGAATACCTAATTGAGTATGGACAAAATTACCCTATTTAGACATCCCAGTATGACAAGCTAAGTATCTATGCTTTGACCGGGGCAAGAAGGTTAAATGGTGACAATTTATTTCTAGCCCATCTTTTCTTCGAATGAACTGCTGCAACTCACGTGACGTTTTCATTTCATTAATCTGAACTACCACCATAATTCCACAGCTTTCTGGTGAAGCTTTGCCATTTACAAAAACCAGATGAGTATTCAGGTCGTTCAAGAGGCTTGCATAACGCGTAATTCCGTCTTCGAAGCATGAAACTGTTCATCTTGCACCTCCAGGGAATGATAACAATTTTTTTTTCGTCTGAGTAGGGCGTTATTAGTCTGTTTCTCTCTTGCTCTTTCAGAACCTCAACTCGGACGCGCCACTATATTATCTTGAATGTTTTGCTCATTACAAGGAGTTGCTATTGTGTACATTTGCATTATGCATTTGAAGGCTTTGTAGGTAACACTACACAACTCAGTTTTTACATAATGAGATTGATAATAATTAATCCTTGGATATACCAGTAATTTCTTCTAACATTAACGAATGTAGGTTGTGTTTACGGTAGACTTTTTCCTTTTGTCTCATCTTAATGTTGCATGTCTTGCATTTGAAACGTTCT